TCTCGTCGTTTATTCAATGTTGCTAAATTCGGCATGTTTTCTCGTTAAATCCTGGCACCAAATTGTGGTTGGATATCACAATAGAAGGCAGGATTCGTATTATAACGAGTCTTGGTAGTGTATATACTAGTATACTACGCAGTTACGAAACAGAGTGACGTTCTAGACGTCCCGAAAATGCGCAAAATAACAGAGCGCAAATAAAACTGAGTATAACCCGGGAGCATGCGCAGTACCCTTTCAGAAGTAAAAATGGCCGACCAGAATGGTTGTCGGAAGCGTGGTCGTCGACGTGTCAGCGAAGCTGTCAAAAAACAACGACAGGCAAGCAAAAATGCTAAGAAGATTTATCTTGGCCAAGAGGTTTACAGATGGAATGCTATAAAAGTGGAGCATTCACTTGGTTCTGACGCAAATGTAGCGAGGTTTCTAATCGATAGGTGAGTTTTAATTGTGCTCGTTATGCGTTATGCATGGACCTGATATTTGTGGTTGGTTGCTGAAGTCAATACATGGTCGTCTATGAGGCGGAACGACTTATATCCCGGTATTGGACCTTATTCTTGCTCAAAATAATAGGATTGAAACAGTTTGTAATGTAATGCATAAATGTATCACAAAATTTAATCATCCTAGCTCCGAAACCCCCAAAATCACGAACAGTACTTTTTTCTGGCCGATCAGCCTGCACTATACTTGAGCACAGGGGAGAAAACAATACATACGAACATTTTTACCTGAAAATACACTGAGCTATTGGAAATTGTCAACCAATTACATATAAATTATGTATTTTTCCAAATATTTATTTTCTTGATACCAGTTACTACAGTTTATGTAAATTTGCGTGGACTTCCGGGTATGTTCACAGCCTGGCAACCATTACTGTGAAAACAAAGGCCGAAAACAGTACTTTAGGATGGTTGTTGAGACTCCCCTGAACAGTGTAAGAAGATTACCCATGCTTGTGTAACCCATATAAATTTGATTGTTCAGTTGAGTTCCTGTTGTTTTCTTGAATTTTCTCCGGCTCATCGTTCGGTGTTCCGCGTTCTTCAGCAGAGTGCACAGAGCCCATAGAAATATGTGGTACAGTGGTACAGCGCATCTTGGAATGTAACTCAGCCCCTGAGGATACACCCTCATGCAGACACAATATACAGTCTTGTCGCTTGAGGGCATTCCACATATGCACAGATTGATACAACTTGAAGGCTGGTACATGTATCATGATGATTAGAAATGGTCATATTTTGTTATAAATTTGGGAAAATATACATGATTTATATGTAATTAGTCAACATTCTCCAATACGTCTTATCAGCACTTGTAGCTGCCCCATAAACGTCCATGTATTGGTTCAGCAACCAACCACACAAATAGATCACCAGGCCCCTGTTGTGTTATCACATGGCCTACATTTATATCCAAGTTCACTGCATATGTCTTGCTGAGCTTGACATACAGTGTATATAGAACTTGAGTTTGTTTTGAGAGGTCAGAATTTGTCGGTACTAGTAAACGTAGAAAAATGGTGGTGTTGTGTGTGTTTGCACTTACTTTTTTTGCTTCAAAAATGAAAACTAGTGACATTGTGGCAGAACCATTGTTGTGCATGCATTCAAATCATTAGGTTTGAGCATTGTTACTCAAACCGTGGTTTGAGCAATTTTCATGTGCGCATATTGAGTTTAGTTCATCACAAAACATACATGTACCACAACATTATAGCATTTGTATAGACTGGCTACGGACTAGGAGTTTAAATTTGTCTCAAGTGCATTAAAGAATTATTTCTGGCAAAATACACCCTGCCACCACAAAATACCAACTCACCATGAACCCCCCCCCCTCCCCCCGAGTGATACACATGTACATTCAAATATGCATATTTAATTAGATTTGACTGGTCACTTACATGTTCTGTTTAATGAGGTCAATGGTAGTGTTGAAGGTATACACAAAATAGCATAACTTATAACGATTCTTTCATCAGTGCTGTCGAACTTTACGAAAATGAAGTTAGATCAGCACAGTATAGCCCCCCCCCCCCATAGTTTAGTAATTTAGTAATATATATGTTCTCACACCACACAACCGCAAATCATACTGACCTCTGATTGGTTCAAAGATTACTAATCACTACCTCATTAGCGCAACAGTACCTGCTGACAAATTATCCTGTGTTTAAGACTCTGATAAAGACCAGTAAGGGGTGGAGAAAATATTTTTTTAATTGAAAATTATATACCGTAAAAACTCAAATAATTCAACCATCTATTTTTTGCGTCATTGTTAATTTTAAAATGTATCCATTTAGTTCGGCCATCTGACCAGTCAGTCTATTGTTTGTATTTAATTAGTTCGTCCAGTAATGACAATCGCCCGATTTTTACTTCACTTTCTCAACAAAGGTATTGTTTCACACATCCACGTAAATACGACGTAAAGCAAATAGGATATCCACCAGATGTGCAGTCATGGACTCGTGTCAACCGTGGCTGTTCAAGGGACATATAAATGATATTTTGGGGATGTGTCATTATAAATACCCAGTACATCAGTTGTAAATAATCGCCAACAAAAATCTTCACGATGCACAAACTATTGACAAAGAACAAATACTTTAAGTCATTGCTAGCAATCACTGATGAGACGAAGCTCCATGGTTCTAGCAAAGTCGCCAATTTGTAGCGTTAAAGTGACATTTTTATTCGACAAAGTTTTGTTTACACTATCACACAGCACGTCAAAATGTCTTTTTTGGGGGGTGACCCAAATAAAATTATCTGCTGGATTTTTCAGCATAATCATTTCAGTGATGTTCGAAACCTTGTCTTGCAACGTTGTTTGTTTAAAAAGTCAATTGGATTTTCAATTTTAACTGGGCAAAAAAATGTGACCGTGAAGACTGTGCTCACATATAGATGAGACGACCAGAGGTATGAATCCAGAGACCAGTCATTTCGATATCGTACATCAGAGTACTGACTGATGTAATCTCGGGGAAAAACACTATACTTATTCAATTACCGTAAAATCTTTAGTTTACGTGTCATTTTTCGAATATTTCAATCTTTCCTGATGCCTAAGTTAAGAGTCTAATTTAGGTTTTTAGTAGTCACTGACGTCTATTCAAGAGTATGATGTTTATTGTGGCTCGCATGAATTGGGTAACACTTCGTTTCGACAATCAGCTGTTAATCACCGTAAAAAGTGTTATTTGGGACAGTATGTTTATTCTTGATTTAAAAAAAAAATCATGACGTTTTCCCATCGAAATCAAAGCCAAAAGGTTGCACTGAAACATTTGTAAATCTCTTCTGTGTTGTGTTCACTATAAAGTTCCTGAACTGTCATTAACATATTTAAATGAGCTACGGTAATTTGAACACGTTGGCACCCTCCATCGTTTTGATTGGTTAATTAGCAACTTGACCTATCAGGTCAATAAACACAGTTGTTTCAGGTCTTGTGTGCATGGAAAACATGGCGGATATCATATTGCATCAAGCGTTTACATGTGACCCAAAATCATTCGCTTACGATGAAACTAATAACTTTATAACAATTTATATTCTTTAATATTTCTGGAAACGAACCTAAATTTTGGAGCTAACAGACAAAATCCGAGTCAATTTTCAGTTTTTACTCAAAAAATGTGGATATTTTGTCCCAATCTTCTGAAGAAAGTGCAGACTATAAATAGGACTATTTTGTGAATTTGGAAACTGGTGGTGAAAAGGTTAATGACAAATAGTTTTCATTTTGCTATTTTCTCTGGCTATGGTACTGCTGGCCAAAATAGTCAGGTTTGGACTGTGAGACACAACCTATCTTGTTGACAACTGTTTTGTTCTTTCAAACAAATATGACACACCGACTAATGGCTAAACAGTTCTGACTTGTCAATTATGTGTTTATTTACTGCAGGTATTATGCTAGTAAGACTTCTATACCCTCAACATCAGCTGCAGGTCCCAGTACCAGTCCAAGTGTTCAAACCATGCAGCTAAAGAAAACGTCAGAAATGTTAGAAAAAACTGCTTTTAAATCTAAAGGGTAAGATTATTTTTACTGCATCATGATGAACATGTCATACTTACTATTTGGGGATGGGGGGGGGGATAATATTCAATTCTAGGCAATGTAAGACTATATATGCTATATTCATGGTTTTGTATGTAAAATTGCAATAAATTATGCTATTTTCCCGCAAGATTTAATACTGTTTCATTTGTACATGTACATGTACTTTCTCAGGTACCATTCTGAGGAGGCTGTTATCCCTTCAAGAACTCCAAAAGTATCAGATTTGTTTCTCAAAAATTATACCCATATTAATGTTTTGTGTGTAGACATGTCAAATATTGAATCTACATGTATATGATACATGTATTGTATCTTATAAAATACAGACTTATATTTTTGTTATTTTTATATTTTAGGAGTGCTGTAGCTGCGTCTTCCCCAGAAAATGTGGCGGATAATTTGCATACAAATTAACATAACGTACATTTATATTTTTTTAAGTTGATAAGATTAACTGTATAAAGTAAAACTTGTAAGTTAATTAAAATATAATTCCAAAAATATATTATTTAATGGTAATTATATACAATTCATATCTGTAGCTCTGAAAAAAAGTCATGACAATGAAACCATCATTAAAATTGAGGTGTAAATTATGTATGCTTGACCCCTCCCTCCCTAATCCTTTGTTTTGCATGTTTTGCATGTGACAGTAATTTGCTTACCACATGTCAACAGTAAAACAACATGGCCACCTTTGGGAACTATCCATCTCAGTCGGAGTCTGTTATTTACCAGTATTTTCCTGCTAAAACTAGTAGTCTGCCACCCCCAGTGATGGACGTCTGGCTTGGATGTAGTCTTCTCTCTGGTACCATTTTTACTTCAAAGCTAATTAAAAAGTGATAGTTACTTCTCAATTGCATCATTGCCTTTTCTTGGTTGTCTAAATTTGACTCGTGTATTTTGAATAATTCTAGTTGCTGCATAGTGTTTATTTGCTTTCAACTTTTAAACACAACAGAAACCAATCTTCACACTTCTTTTTAGTCAGCTAGCAAGTACCAGTGCTGTTTTTGACTCCTGTGTGCAAAGCGCACAATGGGAGTCTTTGCGGTTAGTGTGTCTGTAGGTGTGTGTCTCTCTCTCTCTGTCCCACTGATATCTCAAGAACCAATTATCAAATTTTAATAAAACTTGGTACATAGATGCTCTGGGATAATGCATAGATCTGAATAGTTTTTGGTTTGCATCCATACATACTGGGTATCTTATTTGCATATTAATTAGGAAACTTTTCCACCTACCGGTATTCTTTCTAAATCCAAAAGTGGCCTCCAGAATGCCCTTGATAATGACTCAAAATACACACAGAAATGGAAACTCACTGTGGACACAGAAAAACTCTATGACAGTGATTTATTCTTTTTTGAAGAGAATGAGATTAACATCGTGAGAAATTATAATTATTTAGGTATTCTTCTCGGCCCTAATGGAAAATTTAAAGCTACTATGAAACACCTGAAATACAAAGGAATGAAAGCATTATTCTCTTTAAAAGCCAAATTAGGTCACAATGAAAGTCTCAGTCCCTTATTATTGTTATCATTGTTTGATAAATTAATAAGACCTCCTACGTAACAAGACTGTAAAAAGTAAGTGGTACAATGAACTTAACTCACTACTGAAATCTACAAATACAACACTATCAGATACTGACAATAATGAGCTAAAATCGTCACAAATGTCACGGATATATGATAAAATAAAAAATGTATTTATAAAGCATTGGATTAACTCAATTAATGATGATAACAGACAAAACGCTAATACAAAAAACAAACTTAGGACTTACAAAAAATTTAAAACAAACTTCATTTTGGAAAACTACTTAATTAAGCTAAAAAATAAAGAACTGAAAACTGAGCAATCACAGTTTAGAAATTGAAAAAGGAAGACACAACAGAATCATAAGTAGCGACAGAATATGCAAATTGTGTAATAAAAATGATATTGAAGATGAACATCACTTCCTTATAACATA